TCGATGTCCTCATTGCACACCAATCTATTGTCAGTGGGTTTTGGAGGGATAGACGGGAGAGGAGGATGGAATGTCATAGGTGGTTAGCTTGCCAGAGTCCGTTCTGTCTTTTCGTGTTCTTTTATCGGGTTTCTTCTAGTCTTCAACCCTCGGGACGGGGAGAGGTGTGCATAATTCAAGCTCTCTTCAGGCTTCTTATGTATCATTCATCACTCTGAGAACATCAAACTCCTTTCGTCTCGTTCATCACCCAAAGTACATCAAGCCTCCTTTTGTCTCATTCATCACTCTTAGAACATCAAATTTTTCTCAACTTCCCTCTTTTCATTCATCATCCGAAGTACATCAAGCCTTTTCTCGACTTCCCTTTTTCTTGCTGCCCCTGCTTCTCCCCCGAGCCTTGCCATCTCAGACGCCCTTTGGCTGATCCTCTTTCCATCCCATGCCAACCAGACCCCTTTTCTGGCTTCCGTTATCCTTAATGCCTTTTCCACTCGGCTCTTCAGCCCGTGCAATCCATGCCTCTCGTCATTCTTTCCTCAATCTCACGCTCAGCCAAATTCACATGTATTTTTTCCGGTTTATTGTGCCCGACTTTTCTCCTGTCCTGCCAATTTCACATGCATGTTAACCCTCATTCTACCTTTCTTGCACCCAAGCTTAATCAATTTTCCATGCATGTTTCCCAGTCCATTTCATATGTGTCTTTCTTCTGGGCATCTTACCAGACCTTTCTCAAGCTCACGCAGAATCAATTACACATGCCTTTTTCTTCTGGATATCTTGCCAGGCCTTTCTCAAGCCTACGCAAGTCAATTATACATACATTTCTCTTCTGGACATCTCGCCAGACCTTTCTCAAGCCTACGCAAAATCAATCATACATGCTTTTCTCTCCTGGACATCTTGCCAGACCTTTTCTCAAGCCTGTTCAAAGTCAATTGCACATCCATTTCTCTTCTGGACATCTTGTCAGACCTTTTCTCAAGCCTACGCAAAGTCAATTACACAATTTCTTTTCTCTTCTGGACATCTTGCCAAACCTTTTCTCAAACCTGCGCAAAGTCAATTACACAAACATTTTTCTTCTGGACATCTTGTCAGACGTTTTTTCAAGCCTGCGCAAACTCAATTACACATCCGTTTTTTTTCTCTTCTGGGTATCTTGCCAGACCTTTTCTCAAGCCTGCGCAAAGTCAATTACCTAAACATTTTTCTTCTGGACATCTTGTTAGGCCTTTTCTCAAGCCTGCGCAAAATCAATTACACATTCATTTCTTTTCTTTTATGGACATCTTGCCAGACCTTTTTTCAAGCCTGCTCAAAGTCAATTACCCAAGCATTTTTCTTTTGGACATCTTGTCAGGCCTTTTATCAAGCCTGCGCAAAGTCAATTACACATCCATTTCTTTTCTCTTCAGGGCATCTTGCCAGGTCTTTTCTCAAGCTTGCGCAAAGTCAATTACCCAAACATTTTTATTCTGGACATCTTGCCAGGCCTTCTCTCAAGCCTGCGCAAAGTCAATTACACAATTTCTTGAGCTAATGGTAACCTTCTCTTTTATGCGCTTTCTCGTCGGTAAATGGCACACCTTCCCCCCACTCAAAATGTGATGTCCCCATCGCATGACTGATTCTCACTTGGAGGTACGCAGACCTTGCCTTGCCAACTGAGTAGACGGATGCTGGCTCATTAGCCCCAAAAAGGAAGGGTGATCAGTCCTCCCCCTGCTGATAACTCACCTCATCCCCTACTCTAGTCCGGCGGCTGCTTCTCTGGAAATGGGCGTCGTTATTGAGGTGTATCCTCGCATCTGTTAGGCGGATCCAGTCTACGCCTCCCAAGACCCCATCATACCACAAGTGGCTCCCTCGCGAATCGTTCCTCCCAAGTGGTGTTTTCTTAGATCCGGCCTCTTCCTTTCAAGAGAGTTGGGGCTCTTAGTTAGTCTGCGAGTGCAGTTACGAAGACCTCGCGGTTAGTCCCGGAACGATTGTAATGATCCGGCAGGGCGGTGTCACTCGCCCTGTGGTGGTTGCGGCTTCCACCCGGTACCACGCCCGACCCCTCCCTCTGGACAGTGCCGCTCAACTTAATGCCAGCAACCTTGGTCCATCCCAAACGGCCACGCCACCCCTCTACGGTATGGCGTGTGGTTGGGGAGAGTAAAATGAGACTTAGGAGAAGAATGGCTTTCTCGCCCGTTTGGCTCCACGCCCTTGACGTTTAGGTTCTCAACATGAAGCGCAGTTTGAACTCCCCGACTAGAGCTCGTTGTCGGAGTTAGTTCCGGACGGCCAACATCAATCAAAAAGAAAGATGCCTTGGTCCTTCAACCCTTACCCTTCCTTATGAGGAATAGGTGGCGCTGAGACTTTCCCTTGGCGGGTAGAGCTCCTGGGGKTGCGGTGCATGCATCGCTATCCCCCTTACGTTGAGGCCTGAGACTAGAAAGAAAGGAAAACTCGATCTCTTGCTATTTTCATGGTCGGCCCGACGACCTTTCATCAAATCGCCTAGGGTTCCCTGACTATGCAATGCAATATCCAATCCTCAATCACTCAATCCAATGCTATTTCCAGTCCTTTCTCACGACTGATTCTCATGGCTGGTCAGACAACCTCTCATCAACAAGGCCACCCCTTGTGGTCGCTCTGATGGTCGCTTTCTCAATAGCCATCTTTCAAGGGCCAACCCGTCGGCCCATTCAATCCTCAACTTTCACATTCCCCAATATCCATTCCTTATGACCGTCCCAACGGTCTATGCCCTTCTCGACGTAAGGCTCGGTCTTCTTTATCCTGCCCTTCTCTTTCCAAGGCATCATTTTCTTTCATCCTTCTTCATGACTATTTCAATGACCGACCCACCGACCTTTTTCATCTCACATTGTTCATTCCAGCTCATTTTCAATCAATCTTTCTCAATCAATTATGCAGGGGACCCAGTGCCTATTTCAAAAGAAATGACCCTTGCCAGGGGCCATTTTCGAACAACCTGGTTAGGGTCATTCTTTTTCATTCTCAAATCGAACAGCCTCGTTAGGGTCATTCCTTTCCATTCTCAAGTCGAACAGCCCGGTTAGGGTCATTCCTTTCCATTCTCAAGTCGAACAGCCTGGTTAGGGCCATTCCTTTCCATTCTCAAATCGAACAGCCAGGTTAGGGTCATTCCTTTCCATTCTCAATGTTAGCGCCCAAGGGGGTGGGCCTTGAGGACACGGATCTCATTTCCGTCTCGGAGGTTAGAAGGTGGCCATCTCTTTCAATTTTACGCATGCAGTTTCCTTTGTCCATTTCTCAATATCATTCGTTGTACATGCAAACATCCGACTTAGCGTCTAGTGCTCGAATTGAGGCTCACAACCCCAAGCAGCGCTAGCCCACCCGGCTGTTCAACCATAGCAAAAGACCGGGGCACCCCTTCTATTTTCACTCTTTCTGGTTTCTCAGCTCTTGGCTATTTTCAGACTCATTCATAACTCAGTTGGATTAGGCTCCTAGGGAAGGAGTGTTCTTCACGCCTCTTAACCCATAGGTTCCCTAACCTCTCTCGTACTCGACCGACATTCAATGCCTTGCTTTGCTCGTCAATCTGTACTTACAGTCTCTCTTCTCAAAAGCACAATCCTCATTCCATCGAAAGTTCACAATACACCATTCTCAACCGGTCTCATCCCATGCCCCGTGTCATTGTCTTGTATACCCATTTTCGAAGGTAGCTCATCCAGAGGGTAGCCTCAAAATGCTATCTTCTAACTTATCGTGACACAGTCTTAGCTAGTCCTCTCATCACTCATCCTTAGCAAGCTTACTCATGCTATACACATTCTTGTTGTTCCAATGTTTGCAAACGAAAAAGCACAATTCTTGTTTAACACTTAACAACATCTAATCCCTATTGTTGTCGTGTGCCTCAACTCGCTCGGTCCCTTGTCCATCCTGTGTTTCTGCGGTTTCTTTAACTCCCAGGCCGGAGGTCATGATCTCGCTCTTCCTCTTCGCAATTTCCTGCAATTCCCTCTCACTGTAGAAATCCAGAGGTGTGGCCGCCACCCTTGCCTTCGCGAGTTCGCTGGTCTTGACAATCCAGTCATGCTTGATTGCACTCAGCCATTGCTGAAACCAATGACTGGGCGTTGGCCCAAACTCCATCTGAAGGCTTCCCCGCGCGGCTGGTGCATCGGGGGTCGCCTTTACTCTGTAGACCTTGAGATTTCGTCCCTCTCATCCCCACTACTGATCTCTATGACCTCTTGTACTTCCTCCTCCTCATCCACCTCTTCTTCCATCCGTATGGGGCTGAACTCACCTGTGAAGTTCCTTGGATCCAAGTTGTAGGGAATCTCCATCCTCCTTCAATATCCCTCTTCAAAGTCCGGATACCTCCCCTCACAACTGTCGTGGCCGCTCCACTCTTCATGCGGGTTTTCCCTTCTTTCTTCCCCATCCTCGCGTTTTTCACACCCGTCGTGTCTCCCTTCGTTCTCCTCAAGCCACGGCCCATGCTGTTCGCATCTCTCGACCCCTCCCTCGTCAGAGGCCTGAGCCCTTTCTCTCATCTCCGCTTTGCCCCCTTCTCCCATACTCGCCCTTTCTTCCTCGCTCTTACTTCCGGATGAGATATATATGCCTTCTCCCTTCCGGAGAGGCGAAGGTCCTCTGCACACGCGCTTTCTCGCACCCCTGCCTACCACTTGCTTGGACATGAACCCTATGTACAATTTTCTCTTGACAGTCCTCCGCTCTCGACTTGGCCCTGCTCCTCCCTCTTTAGTAGGTCTGTTGATTGCCTCGCTATCATTCTTGTTGCCGAATTTCATTGTTCCACTGGGTCCTGACTTAGAAACCTGACCAATCGTTGCCCCGGGAAGGGTCCTTTCAATCCGGCTCCATCTAAATCCTCCAGTTCGAAGGTGTTCAGTCCCACCCGCTTGACGACCCGGTAGGGGCCTTTAAACCTCCTCCCCAGCTGTCCAGACCAAGTACTTTCTAGTGCCGAGTTCCTTAGCAATACTATCTCCCCCACCTGAAGTGGCTCCTTTCTGACATTCTTAACCTGGTCCCACCTTGCTTTGTCCCATTCTACTGTCTAGTACCCGGTTGGCGATGTCTTCCATGACCTCCTCGTTCCTAAGAACTTGTTGGCATCTTGCCTTAATCAATTCCTCTGTGGTTATATGCGGATCGTCATCTAACCTGTTCCAGGTTGGTATCAAGGCTTCCACGGGAAAATCGATCTCCCTTTCGTACCAAAGTTCCGCTGGGATAAATCCCGTTGTCCTCTTAGGTGTCATGTTCTCTGAGAAGACAGCATGCTTAAAATACTTAGGCCAACTCCCCAAATTGTCCGCTGCGAGCTTCACAATCGTGTTCTTTAAGGTTCGGTGCCCTCTTTCCACAAGTGCATTGGCCTCCGGGTGATATGGCTCGATGAGTTTGATCGGTACGCAGAGCCTCTTAAGCATTCCCAACACTTGTTGGTTCACAAATTTTGTCTCATTGTTCGCTATAACCCTCCAGATGAAGGGATGCCTCAAGTAGAAGTCTTTTACCCAATCCGCTACACTTCTCCCTGTCTTTTTCTTGAAAGCGACCGCCTCCACGAACCCACTCAAGTTGTCTCGCGCATCCAGGATATACCTGTACCCATCCGTTGATATAGGCATAACCTCAAGGTCAAGGTGGACTAGATGTCCCGGCCCTAGCACCCGCGTTGGTCTAAGCGGCTCGAAGACGCGTGCCGAGCTACGTTCCTGGCAGATTAGGCAGGTCTGGCAGTACGTGGCGACCATACCTGCCATGCCTGGCCAATAATAGAGCGGCGTTATCTTCGCAAGAGTTCCTTTGGACGATCGATGTCCTCCTGCTAGTCCGTCGTGTATTGCCTGGATCACGTCCAACTGCCTAGCTCTCCAGCAGACAACTCTTACAGGCATAACACCTTCCTCCCTTCTGAACAGATGACCGCTCCTTAGGACGTACCTCTCTGCCTCCTCCCTTGCTCTATAAAGCTGACTTCCATGGGTTGTTTATTTCCTACCAGCAGCAATCCGATCTCCCGGAAAACCCCTTCGTATATCCGAGCATAGAAAAACTCCCTTTCTTCCTGCTCCTCGTCCTTTCCCTCCTTCATCTGGTTTACCATACACTGCAATTCTTTTTGTTCCCAAGTCTCCACTAGGGTCATCACAGCTTCCCGGCCTCCCTCAACTGCCATTGCCATCAATTCCTCTTTCGGTCCTACTACCGCTCCCCATGAATCCCTCTCCTCCTTGCGTCCTCGAGTGGTAACAGGTCCTTCCCTAAGTTCTGCTACTACGGCAGGAGCCCCTTTTTCCAAGGTTTGGATTAACAACTCTCCCGATGCTCACCCTTCGCCCATCATTTCATTATCCACTGCGAGTGTCCCTCCTTCGCCTTCAAAGAACGCATCTATGGGTTCTACGTCTTCCACTCCTTCGGGCGAGATACAGACCCGACTCAGCCCATCGGCCTTGTTTCTGAGTCCAACAATTCGTTCGATCTTGTAATCGAACTGCCAGATAAATCCTACCTATCTCCCCACCGTTGGGTCTATAACCCTGTAGTTCTTTAGGGGCCCTGCGACATTCGTTGGGTCAATTCTTAGGATAAACCGTCTCCCAAATAGGTAGGCTTGGAAGGTCTTGAGGCAATGCAAAATGGATAGGACCTCCTTCTTGAACTGTGAGTATCGCCGTTCTACGGAGTTCAGGGTTTTACTTTCAAACCTAATTGGCCTTTTTTTTCCTCCCTCATCCCTTTGAATCAGTACGCCCACTACGACCAAGGGTCCTCCGTCCATCTCTAGGATGAATGGCCGTCCCACTTCGTCATTAATACAGGGTGCTAACAAGGCGACTTGCTCAGACGTCAGTATGTTCTTGAGAGTTTGGACGGCCCCTTCTCGTTCATCTGTCCAATCCATGGTCCCTTCTTCTCTAATCATGGCCCGGATAGGCTCAACAATCTTGGCAAAACTTTTAATGAAAATCCTCCAAAAGCCGACCACGCCTAAGAATGTTCTTACCTCCGTTGTCGCGTGCAAGGGTGTTGGCCACTGTGATATCTTGTCTGTTTTAGCCGGGTATGGTTTCCCACCGTATTCACCACAGCGAAATCCGAGTATGGTTACCTCCGGTACCGCTAGAATACTCTTTGGTCCGCTAGCCGTGATGTTATGTACTAGGAATCGACGGAGTAAGTCCTTGATGTCATGTAGATGGTCCCATACAAATCTTCGAATTTCTGGTTGGACTTCCGTCTCGTCCTTCTCTTGGGAGGTTCACACTTCTCTGGAAACATGTCTCCGGCTACGGCGAACATCCTTCTTTGTGCCTCGGCCACCGCGTTCGTAAAGCCCATAGGGGTCAACTGCATCTGCAGCTGTCCTACGGGGGTGTGCATTGCGGTGTACGGTCTGTCTCGAACATCCAACGGAAGTTGGTCGTACCCTGAGTATAAATTTATTAGGGAGTAAATGCTCCAGCCGGCGTGTGACTCTGCTAACAAATCGGCCTAAGGTAGCGAACCAGCGTCCCGGATGGTTACTGCATTCAACTTCTGCAAATCTTGAATCCATCTCAGCGTCTTGTTGGGTTTTCGAAAGACGAACCACCTGTTCGCATACGGTGACGCCGAAGGCTCTGCGACGAAGGAGTCCATCTTTGCTCGAAGAAGGTTTGTCACTTCCCCTGCCATCCCAAATTCATAGGACGACCCTTTGTCATTCCAGCACTCATGCTCCACCGTGTGGATTCTGACCGGGGGAATTGGCTTTGTGTCTAACCGCCCCTTTTGGTGATCACTTAAGGCAAATGCCAGATGAAACTCCTGGCACGTCCTTTTGATCAGGAAGGTTTCTTCTTCCGTTAAGAATCCGTCTATTCCTATCTTCATTGTATCAGCTACCTCATCTGGTATCCGATGCCCTTCCGTTGCTCGCCTCTCTCGGATCATTCGGAGGACCTCCTCCTCCCTCTCCATAGCCTCTTCCTTTGATGTCTCTAGCAGGATCGAGACCGGTTTTGCTTTTTTCCCTACCGGCTTGTACTTTCGAACACTTCCTTCCGGGATCTTTCTCATAAAAAATGAATGGCTGGGATTACCCTCGTCACCTCTACGACTCGTGGTTAAATACTGACTAATTTTCCATTCAGACAATATCCCTTCTGCACTTCTCCTTCGAATTTGGCCAATGCCGCCGAGTCCACTCCTACTTTGTGGTATCTGATAGCCTTGATGAGCTGTAACAAACCGGGAATCTCGAGTGCGACTTCAGGTACATCCATGCACACTTCTTTCCGCTTGGGCAGGGTGGCTCCAAGCTCAACTTCTGACTCCTTTTCTGCCACCATGACACCTAAGACCTCGTCCTCCTGCCTTCTCTTCTTCTGAGGCAGGCCCATTTTGATCGATTCCTTTTTGTTGAATGCCTCCTCAATCATAATTTCTACCCTCTCTCTCATACCTTCCATTCGCACAAAAGCCCCCTTCCGCGCGCTATCTTCGAATGACGGCGACCACGTTGCTAACTTCCCCTTCGGAGGGTCTCCTCCCGTCCCAAGGAGTCGGAGAAGTTCCCCTCGGCCGGTCACTGGGTCCTTTATATCTACCATGTATGTGCCATCATGCAGATGCATCCCTATCATTTTTACATTGGCGCACCATGGTCTTCCAAGGATTATGTCGAGGTCCGTCTCCTCCATTACGGTCATCCGCTGAAACGACAAGATCGACTCCTTGACTACTACCTGGACTGCACATTTCGTGACATACCCAGCAAACGGAATTTCCCTACCGGCTCCCCGGATACTCCCTGTTACTTCCTTGTTCACCGTACAGCCCGTGATCGTTGCGAAGTCTCTCCTTATGAGAGTGATTTCCGCTCCCCCGTCTACCAATGTGTCGGTATGATGAGTTCCGATCTGGACTTTCAGCTTTCCTACGGGCAGTGCATGAAAGCTAAGCTTCGTTCCAGGTGGTGCCCTCATGACCTCGCCACCTTCTCGGTCCGGCAAGCTCAGGCGGATGTCCGCAATGGCCTTCTCTAGATCCTCCAAATCCTCGAGATTCCTTTGAAGGTTAGCAACTTCTTGCAGAGCTTCCTCCTCTCTCTCTGCTTCCGGTGATTCGGGGTTCTCGTCTATCTCTACTCGTCGTCGAGTCAACAACTGTCTAAGCCCTTTGAGCAACCTAGGGCTGGCCTGCAACATGGTTTGAAACGATGCTGACACCATGGTTCCTAGCAATTTGCTAAGGGTGTCATCGATCTCAGGCATGGTTAAGATCGGGATTTGATACCTAAACTTTTTCTTAGCGGCGGTGACCTTGTCTGTGGGCTCTTCTTCCCTAGGCTTCCCATAAACTTTCTCGGGTTCCCCGGCCTCGGGCTCTACCTGGGGCGCGGAGCCTCCGACAACTTCCTCCATCACCGTGTCCTGGATGATCCTCCTTCCTGTCGTCCCTAATCGAGTAGTCGCGTTCACCCTATCACGTCCGTCACTTTCCAAAATGAAATTGATCTGCGGCCCGCGGCCCCAGACTTGGTCCCAGATGATATTGACCACTGGCTCAGCCTCTACTGCCGCTATCTCTAACCCATTGAGCATGATAATGGCGCACCGCATTCCCCCTGGTGAGTTCCAGTTCACCCGTTCCCCCTGTGGTCCGAATGTTTCCCCCTTCAATGATCTGGTACATCTCCTTTTTAGTATATCGTGGTTAAGTTTAGGACATGTGCGCACAAAATGTCCCACCGCAGTGCAGTACTTGCATTGCACATTTGCAGGATCTCTCCGACCGAACCCTCGGTTGGCTACGTCTGTCGGGAGTACGTCTTCTTGGGGAGGGAGGGCGGGTCGAGATACTTGCGCCTCAGAGATGAGCACCGGGTACCCAGACCCGCACCCACCTGCACCCACCCCACCCACGAGGACATCGGGTCAGGTGCGGGTCTTGATAAAGTGACCTGGGTGGGATGAAGGCGGGTCAGGGCCAGGTAGACTGGGTGGGTGACAGGTGGGTCAACATTCGGCCTGGGTCACCCGAGCGGGTGGGTGACAGGTGGGTGAGTGCCAGGCCTGGGTCACCCGACCCACAGACCCATAACAACCCATGAGGACCCTCCCCCCCACGTTCCCCCCCCCAATCCCTGCACAAAATGTCCACCCACCTAAAAAAGTTGAAGGTGCACACACGAAACGTCAAGTTCCGCCGTCGGCCTACCTGAAAAAAAAGTCCCACCATTGGCCTGCCTGCCAGTCCCTGAAAAAAAAAGAAGTCCCGCCGTCAACCTGCTTGGAAAAAAAAAAATCTCCCGCCGTTGGCCTGCCACGAAAATTTTCGTTTTCAAACCGGATGCTGAGTTTCCCTCCCGTTAAAAGAACAGGGGGTGATCCTAACCACAACAGGTGGCAAGGTTCACTCCCCACTTTTGAAGTGCTGGAGGGCTCCTAATCTTGGCGCCACCATCCGACGACGACACAACTTGTGCATGGTTCAGCAGCAGGGAGGAGGAGGCGGGGCGGCGAGCAGGGGGGGCAACACACCGACGATCTGGGGAGGAACAGCGTGGCTGCGAGCCACGCACTGACAGCCTAGGGAGCAACAACGCTGCTGCAAGTGAGCAGCGGGGCCGGCATCAACGAGGTTGGTCTCTCTCTCTCTCTCTCTCTCTCTCTCTCTCTCTCTCTCTCTCTCTC